CCTTTTTTCGGATTTATATATATATATATATATATATATATATATATATACAGAAGGGGTACTTTTAGACATCACTCAATCTGCTCAGTCTTCTCTGTAGTGACTCTCTGACATGATGACAGGTAATAAAGCAAGTTGTAGAATGTTCCTTCTTAATAATACAACAATCTGTATAATAATATCAGTTTTTGTTGGTTTTTTCGAGTCATTTCTGCATGAAAGATGAAGGTCAATGAGTTGTAAATAATTCTGTCCCGCTGGCTCTTCTGAGATAAAGCAGCATGACGAGATAAGAAACGCCATCTATGGTCATCAAAACAGAACGTTTTGGCCAAAACTGTCGAAAGTGAGGCTTCCCAGTTTTCAACGTACCTTGCCATACATACTCGTATCGAAGTGGAACCTGATCAAGGTATATGATAACACTTTAATCGTTAACCATTTCTACCAGCTAATCCAATCCACCAGATCTTTTTGTCGTTCATGATTTGTTGCGTCATCCGGCAGTTTCGCGTGACACAACTATCAACGGACACAAAATGAGGACCCTGATTTGCAACTATGTGTTAATTACTTGTATGCTGTCGGATCAAGAAGCTGTGAGTATCAATGGCACTATTCAAAACTCTACAAATATTGACCGTGGCCACCTACCGACCACTAGATAACGCATCCTAAGTATGTCTGGTTCCGGGAGCACGTTGTGGTCCTGACTAATGTCGGGGTCACAGGGTCTAGAAAACTCCAACAAATTAAACATCTTGAACATCCCCTGAAAGTTCTTGCCGATTAAAGCACCCAAGTCTTACGATAACAGTTGTATTTCTATATAGTCACTGCATTATGCACCGTTCCAGTCATTTATGCACTCGTAATGTACCGTTTGGTGGAAGTCACATTTACGAAAATGGCTTGAAATGTGTTGTGGCTCCGACGTGCTGCAAATGTTAGGGGCGACTGATCCCTATACGTCCTTGTACGTACACAAGCATCTCAGAAAGGCATGCAGAGTGACCCTGAAGTAGAAGTTCTGGGAAAACTGATTGGTCTCTCACCCAATGAAGCAAGATCCAAGGAAGTCAAATAAGGTTTGAATGCTTTACTTGTGAAAATACCGGAAGGAATTTGGTATTCAAGTTACGGCGAGCATCGTTGTACAGTTCTAACGTCCTTGCTAATAATCAACTCAAGTAACTGCTTCACGAATTGGTAGGACAGTGTTCACTCGCGTTCTTTTCTATGAGCCATTGGACACCTTCCTCTTTAGCGGACAGTGTTTGGAAGAACATTCTGGTACCTTGGCCTTCGGTTATTTTTTCAGCTGCTTATTTCAGATCACATGATCTTGTTTTCACTCTCCCCTGAGGATTTTCCGAGGAAAATCCATCTTGCTTGTAGAATATGTTCTTTCCTGAAAAGGTTTTGTTGAATTTCTGCTTTACCTAACGCCATTGTATTTTAAGTGAGGTGGACGGAATGTAGTCCGGGAATGCCAGTCAACATCTGTCGGAGAAGCGACGCACACCCTCAGTCAATACGGCGTGACAACCGAAAAATTTTTTCACATGATGACAACTGCAGTAAAGTACAAGACCAGGAAATAAATTGTTTACAGTATTTTGAGGGTTGTCCCCCTGTATTTTTTCTCGGGAATAATAGAGGTCTATTCTAGTGTGATGGCATGTTGTGACATGTTGTCGTTCTCATCAAATCAAAATAATTCTGCAGAATGTTTTGAAATGTTCTGAATCACATGTTTTGAACGAAGATGGTTATCTTGATCGCAATGAACAATGGAGTCCAAACAATTTGCTCAAATTTAATGATTCCAATTAGTTTCATTTTTAGACGTTTTTAATAATCTTGCAACCGGGAAATATCAACGTCGTAAACACACGGCCTTCACACATAGAAACTCATATTTGGTGCATTATTTTGCACCCTATGTTATGTGCCGAAACACGGTTTTACACTTCGGCCAAAAAGTAATTTTGGAAACAGATATAATACACTACTCGTAAGGTTGCTGGAGTTTCTTCGATAGTCCACGACCGATTTCGCTCTTCTCAGGACTCACCATGTTGACGCGGTTCCCGTCAACTATATGTTTCACATGAACCCAAATTGTGCGAACTTGGGGAAAAACCAATTGGTTTAGCGATCAGTGTTTTATATACATATATATATATATATACATATATATTTACGATAGTAAGGTGTCACTCCTTTGTGTCTCGAACGGATGGACTATTTCAGTCGTTCGAAGATAATATTGCGGGTTGTTGCAAGATTCGTAGTGTTCGCATTCGCATTACTCTCTTTTAAACAGTCCTCCTCGTATTCTAGTATAATTATTCTGATGAGTCCAAACGAAAAAGGGGAAGCAATGGTACCGATTTTCGTTCTTTTCAGAATTCATCAACAATGCCTTTTCTTGGCCGTGCGTGGTGAACATTTTACCACTACGCTACCAGTGAATGCTGGAGGCCAGGACAGGAGACTGGCTGTTCAAACGAGAGTGATGTGAATGTGAACCTCAACCACCCGAAGCAAGTAAATAATATAGTCCAACGGGTTTCAGACGTCTTTGACGCTACCTGACGGGGAAGTCTTGAGAGACCAGTCAACTGGTCGTCACAACCAAGATATGTCATTGGGTCGTCGTTCGAGGAGTCGGGGAAAACCATTCACGCCGTTCAGGTGTGAAGAAATTCAGTTGTGAAAATTCAGAGGTGGTGGAATAGTGCTAATACGCTTGCCTCGGATGTCAGATGTTCGGAGTTCAAAGCCCATCACGGCTTAGGATATGCAATGGTGATGAGCTCTAATGAGATCGAAGCTCCAGTCCAGCGTCTCCCTTGTTTGTTTTGGACTCACCAGAATAATTAGGCCAGGACAAGAGGACGGCTGTTCAAACGAGTGTCTGAGGTCATCTAAATTGCTAAATGGAGAATCACTACTATGGTGTCCTACAACACACACACAAGTGTAACAGCAAAGCTTGTGTTCCACTGGTCGAATCAGCTAATACAACCTACCCGTATTTTGTGTTCCGAAAGTTTGTTTCTCGTGCACCAACTCCAATGAACCTTTGGAAGTGGTTATCCACTTTTGACAGGAATCTACATCTCAACTTCATTCACTGGTTATCGATCCTCTGCGAACAAAGCGGACATTTTCGTGATG